GGATATTTAATAAAATAAAGGGCTTTCAAGCCTTCCCGATGAAAAGAACAGAGCTGAACAGAAAATCTGATTTTTAAATACAAGACTCAAAAGTAGCATAAAAAGGCAATCAGAAAAGTAAAATCATAAAGTATTCAACAAGGTTAAGCTGTTTACATTCCTGCATTGGAAGATGATATTTGTAACTTCTAAGAACTTAATCATTATTAGAATAATTAAAAGTAGCATACATAGAAAGCATGAGTGTCAGTTGATTCATATCTGAAAAAATTAAGGGGTAGAAAAGAAGGATGCACTTGAAGAAAGGGGAAGAGAGAAGTAGAATGGGGTAAATTACCTCACAAAAAAGAGGTGTGGAAGAGCTTTTACACAGAAAGGAAAGATGGAGGTGGGGTGACAGGCAGTGCTTGAACCTTACTTTCATCAGAATTGGTTGAAAGATGGAATAACATACCCATTTAGATGGGTAGAGAAATTTATCTTATCCTACAGAGAAGTTGGAGGGGAAGCAAGTAAGAAAAAAGAGGGATGCTGATAGAAGAAAGGGAATATTAGGGAGGGCAGCGGTCAGAAGCAAAACACTTTTAGGGAGGGACAAAGTAAGAGAGAGAGAAGGATAAACGGGGAAAATATAATGGAGGGAAATACAAAGTTAATAATCATAACTATGAATATGAATTGGATGAATTCACCCAGAAAACAGAAACAGATAGCAAAGTGGATTAAAAACTAGAATCCTACAATATGTTGTTTACAAGAAACACACTTGAAGCAGAGAGACACACAGAGTAAAGGTAAGGGGCTGGAAGAGAAACTATTATACTAAAGCTGAAGTGGAAAAAAAAAGCAAGGGTAGCAACCATGATCTCAGACAAAGCAAATGCAAAATATCAATTAAAAGAGATAAGCAAGGAAACTACATCTAAAAAGTACCATAGATAATGAAGTAATATCAATACTAAACATATATGCACCAAATGGAATAGCATCCAAATTCTTAAAGGAAAAGTTAAATGAGTTACAGAAGGAAACAGTTAGCAAAACTATACAAATAGGGAACCTGAACTTTCCCTTCTCAGAACTAGATAAATCCAACCAAAAGATAAACAAGAAAGAAGTTAAAGAGAGGGACAGAATTTTAGAAAAATTAGATATGATAGACCTCTGGAGAAAATTGAATGGGAACAGAAAGGAATAAACCTTTTTCTCAGTGGGACATGGCACCTACACAAAAATTGATCAAGTATTTAGGACATTAAAAACCTCACAACTAAGTGTGGAAAAGTAGAAATATTAAATGCATCCTTTTCAGATCATAATGCAGTAAGAATTATATTCAATAAAGGGACATAGAAAAATTGATTAAAATTTATTAGAAACTAAATAATCTAATCCTAAAGAATGAGTGGATCAAAGAACAAATCATAAAAACAACCAATAATTTCATTAAAGAAAATGACAATAATGAGACAACATAAATTTTTGGGATTCTGCAAAGCAATACTTAAAGGAAAATCAATATCTCTAAATGCTTACTTCAATAAAATAAAGAAAGAGCAGATCAATAAATTGGACTTGTAATTAAAAAAACTGGAAAAATAACTAATTAAAAATCTCCAATTAAATGCCAAACTGGAAATGTTAAAAAATCAAAGAGAGATGAATGAAATTGAAATAAAACCATTGAACTAATAAACAAAACTATGAGACAATTTTATGGGGGGGGGAACAATAAAATATATAAACCATTGGTTAATTTGATTAAAAAGGAAGAAAATCAAATTACCAGTAGCAAAAATGAAAAGGGTGAATTAAGCATTTATGAAGAAGCAATTAAAGCAAATATTAAGAGCTATTTTGCCCAATTATATGCCAACAAATCTGACCATACAAGTGAAATGGATGAATATTTTAAAAAATAAATTTTCCAGATTAAAAGAAGAGGAAATAGAATACTTAAATAACCCCATCTTATAAAAAGAAATTGAACAGGCTATCAAAGGGCTCCCTAAGAAAAAATTGCCAGGACCAGATGAATTCACAAGTGAATTATACCAAACATTTAAGGGTGATACCATAGGAAAATTAAGAGAGCATAGAATAGTTTACAAATAAAGGAAGAATTTATGACCAAACAAGAGATAGAAAAGCATTATGGGATGTAAAATGAATAATTTTATTACATTATATTATAAGGGTTTACATCAACAAAACCAGTGCATCCAACATTAAAAGGAAAGCAGAAAATTGGGGGGAAATTTTTATAGGCAGTTTCTCTGATAAAGGCCTTGTTTCTCAAAAATACAGACAACTGAGTCAAGCATATGAGTCATTCCCCAACTGATAAATGACCAAAAGATATGAAGAGGCAGTTTTCAGAAGAAGAAATCAAAGCTATCTATAGTCATATGAAAAAGTGCTCTAAATCACTATTGATTAGAGAAATTCAAACTAACACAAGTCTGAGGTACCACCTCACACCAATCAGATCAGCTAATATGAGAGAAAAGGAAAATGACAAACACTGGAGGGGATGTGAGAAAATTGAGACTCTAATTTACTGTTGGTGGAGTTGCAAAATGATCCAAAAGAAGAGCAATTTGAAAGTGTGCCCAGAGGTCTGTATCCCAAAGTTCAGTTGGTCAGTCATTTTTTAGTTATGTCTGAATCTTCATGATCCCACTTGGGGTTTTCTTGGCAAAGATACTAGAATGGTTTGAATTTTCTTTTCCAGCTCATTTTACAGATGAGGAAACCAAGGCAAACAGGGTTAAGTGACTTATCCAAGGTCACGCAGCTTGTAAGTATCTGAGACCAGATTTGAACTCAGGAAGATGAGTCTTCCTGACTCCAGACCTGGCACTCTATCCACTGCACCACCTAGATGCCCATATCCCAAAGAGATTTTTAAAAAAAGGAAAAGGATTTAAATGTATAAAAATACTTATAGCAATTCTTTCTTGTGGCAAAGAAGACAACAAGAAGATGTTCAGGTTTTTAAGCTATTCTGGATAAGAGTATTAAAAGATGGATTTGGTTGTTAACTGACGAAAGAAAGAAAGCAAAATTGTTCATTCTTAGAGAAGCTTTCAGGAATAAAGGAGAAATCATCCCATTGTATTGTGCCCTTTGAAGAGGACATATAAAGCACTGTGTATAGCTCTGGGGCTACATTTTAAGAAGGATATTGATAAGCTGGAAAGAATGCAGAGAAGGACAACCTGAGGGACAAAGAGTTCATGGAGGAAGTGGATATTTTTAAGAGGAAAAGCCATACTGACTATCTTTAAGTTTTTGAAGGGCTGCTATCCTGTAGAAGAGGGACTGGATGACTTATTCTGCTTGTACTTAGAGGGCTAAAAAGAGAAAGGGTAAGCAAAAGTGGCAAGGGCACATATTTAGACATGCCATAAGGAAAAATGCCTTCACAATTACAGCTTTCCAAAAGTATAATATGTTGCCTCTGGAGGTGATAATTTCCCCTTCACTGAAGATCTCTAAACAAAGACTCGACTTGTCCGACAACGGGTATTCTTTTTGAGGCAGATTGGACTAAAAGACTACTTAGGTTTCTTCCAGTTCTGAAATTCTGAGATTTGATGATGATTACATAGTCCTATCTCTCTACTTTACTACCTATCTGACCCTAAGAAATTCACTTAATCCATCTGGGCCTCACTTTCCTCATCTGTTAAATAAGGAAGTTTGTACGTTTGCTACATCTCTCATATATATGCCTTTTTCTCCTCTGAAACAGTCGCCACTCTGGGATGGTCCATATCACCTCATGCTGGACTATCATACGAGCCTTCTGGTTGGTCTCCCTGAATCAAGTATCTCCCTATACCAGTTCATTTCCACTCAACTGCCAAAGTGATCTTCATAAAATACAGGTCTGACCAAGTCACTGTCTACTCAATCAACACCACTGACTCCCATCACCTCTAGGATCAAATATAAAATCCTTTCTGGATTTCAAAGCCCCTCACTACCTATTCAGTCTTCTTATACTTACTCCCCTCTCCCTTACCCCACTTCACTAATTCTACAATCTGATGACAGTGGCCTCCTTGATGTGTCTTTACACACAACACTTCATCTGCTGACTTCATGCATTTTCAATGACTGTCTTCCTTCTTTCAAGAAGTCTTCCCTACGTCCGCTCAATGTTAGTGCCTTCCCTCTGAGATAACTTTCAATTTACCCTGTATATGTCTTATATATGCATAGTTGTTTGCATGTTGTTTCCCCCCATCAATTGGGGGTTAAATTTAAGGGAAGGGGCTGTTTTTACTTTTTTTTTGTATCCCCAGCACTTAGCACAGTTCCTGGCACAGATGAGCACTTAATAAAATGCTGGTTGATTTGACATAACTTGTTGGTGACTCAAAGGTCTCTTCCTGCTCTAATTTTTGATGCTGTGTAAATGGGCTTTGAGGGTTGGAGAATGGCAGCTAACAGGAGATATATTTGATGCTGGAGATAAGACTATCAGTGGAGTTGTAGTGGTCTGAGGAAGGGAAAAAAGGTTGAGATTTTTCTTCCTTTCCCTCCATCCATTTCTTTTTCCATTGCAAGGTGAAGTATTTCAAACCTCCTTTCCAACTCCAAATTGCAATTTAAATTGTCTTTCATTAGCATAGCGCCTAGCATAAAGTAAGCACTTAATAAATGTTGTTTGATGGGCCAAGTAGGGCTTGAGGCCCAGAGGAAACTACACTAAGATTATATCAGCCTACAAGTGGAAGAGAAAAAAAAATGAGAGGGAAATCCCCAAGATTTGACAATATGGAGGAAGAGAGTTCCTGTGGATATTGGGTTACCTGGGTAGGAATGTCCTTCCTGTGGGATTGTTTCCATATTGCTAGTACTAAATCATAAAATGTAAATGCAATGCATTTAAACGTTGAATTTTGCAACCCCCAAATTTTGCAACTATGAAATAAGTCAATTGTTTCCTAAGCATGTTAGGAATCCTTAAAAAGATGAACAATATCTACCTGAAAAGGTGAAGAACAATTCGTTTTGTAAACCAGATTTCTGCATCTTAATACGATGACATTCAGTCTTCACCGATGATATGTCACAGGAAAGATCAGCAAGTAGTGTTCTCAAAATATGAAGCAACTTCTTCTCAAATGAGACATTATAGATACTATTGCAAGGTGCAGAATGATATCGAGCTGTGAACTGGTAGTAAAAATCAGGATTTATAAAAGCTGCAAGACAAATAAAATATAAGATTCATTGTATAGACAAAAACAAAATTAACATTTTCAGTAAATTACAAATTTTAATTAAAATGTTTAAATTATTTAAGAATCATTCAAAAACAAAAGCTCCTTATTTACATATAAACAAATCCTACATACAGGATGCCCCCAAAATCTTAGAGCAGTTTACATGTAAATATAAGCATATGTGCATCACATTATATATATGTGTATGTATATATATATATATATATTTGTTTCTACATGTACTCAGTATAAAACTTAAGAACGGCGCAGTCCTCTTTGACTCAGCAACAGCACTAGTAGGTCTTTACCCTCAAAGAGATCAAAGAAAAAGGAAAAGGACTTGAACGTACAAAAATATTTATAACAGCTCTTTCTGTAGTGGCAAAGAACTGGAAATTGAGGGGATGCTCATCAACTGGGAAATGGCAGAACAAATTGTGGCATATGTTTGGGATGGAATACTATTGTGCCATAAGATATGGTGAACAGGATGCTTTTAGAAAAACCTAGAAGACTTACATGAACTGATGCAAAGTGAAATGATTAGAACCAGACCATTGTATACAATTACAGCAATATCATATGATGAAATGTGAATGACTTAGCTATTCTCAACAATACAATGATCCAAGACAATTTTAATGATTTATTATGAAAAATGCTATCCATCTCCAGAAAAGGAATCTGATGAATTCTGAATGCAGAGTGAAGCATACTACTTATTACTTTATTACTCTTGGCTCTTTTGGTCTGGGTTTTCTTTTGTAACATGGCTAATATGGAAATGTTTTTCAAGACTGCATATGTATCATCTACATCAAATTGTCTGCCTTCTCAAGGAGAGGTGAATGGAAGGAGGGAAAGAATGTGGAACTAGATTTTTTTAAAAGCATGTTAAAAAAATTTTTGCTTACATATAATTGAGAAAAAATAAAATTACAATTAAAAATTAAAAAGAAAGAATGGCACAAACCATGAATAGTTCAAAGGAACACAAACTTGAAACTGGATATATAGATATAGATATAGATATAGATATATATACCCAGTTATATATATATATATATATCCAGTTTATATATATATATATCCAGTTTATATGTGTGTGTGTGTGTGTGTGTGTGTGTGTGTGTATATATATATACACATACATATATATATGTATATATCTGGTTACCTTCAAGTCCCAGCTAAAATCTCATCTCATACAAGAAGCTTTTACTGATCCATTCCTCCTTTAATTATCATCAATTTATCTTTTATACATCTGGTTTGTACAAAGTTGTTAGCATAGTTTCTCCCACATTTGATTATGAGTTTCTTGAGAGCGAGGACTTTTCATGGCCTTTCCTTGTATCCCCAGCACTTGGTACAGTGCCTGGCATATAACAGGTGCATAATACATGTTTGTTGACTGACATGGTAGAGCCAGGATTTGAATCCAGATCCTCTAGGTTAAAAATCTATCATTCTTTACATAACACCATACTGTGAGGACATTGACGGATCAAATCATAAAGTATCAAAATTAGAGGAAGTAATCAAAGGCAAGGAAAAAATCTTAAGATCAAAAATTTTAAGCTGGTTGCAACATCACAGAAGCATAACTTTAAAGCTTGTCACCATGACAACGTTTTTCTGACTGTACCAATGGAAGAAAATGATGCAGCAACTCTTGGCATTCAGAAACCCGTTTGGAAATGTTATGAAGGCAACTCAATATATCCGATTATTAAATGTGAAAAAAAAGTCAAGTATTTTTGAGTGAACAATATTTTTTGGGGAGTGGCGAAAGACAACTCACTGGAAATCCCAATTCCAAGAAACGTTCAGGAAGAATTTTTTAAAAAGTGTTGTACTCAAGCCTAGGAGCAAAACCCAGGGTTAGATTGTACTAAAATGGATCTGTGGTCTCATCAATTTAAGTACTCATTCCAAGATGGAAGGCACAACCAATTCCTATTTGCCATCTGGTATCCTATATGATTTTTATCCTTATCCTCTCAAAAGTTTGCTACTCAATCTACTAGAGATCTTCCTTGCTTTCTTATGATATCACAAGGATATTGAAGAGAATGCTTGGACTGTCCACTTGTCATTCCTTGTCCTCCCCATGGGAAAAGGCCACCTACCCTTCCTAATACACATTTTCCCTGACATCATTTTTTCTCCTGTTCTCATTCAAAGTTTTTCATTAGTTATATGTTGCACCTTTCTCATATCCACCATATTTCTACCCATTGCCCTCCATATGGTAGTCATGTTCAATTTTTCAGAAACAACTGTGTTCCCTGTCTCTTACCCGCACAACAAAATTGGAAGAATATTAATATTAAAAAGATGGAACTTCTATTTGCAGAAAAACTTTGGGATCATTCCAGGAGCTCTGAAATCTCCTGAAGACAATACAATACACTTTCATTCTCCTGTTTAATTCTGAGACAAATTCCCTGTCCACTTGTATTCTATGTCCCAGATATATCTATATCTACAAATTATGTATATATATATATACACACACATATATATACATACATACATACATATATACATATAAATGTATATTGTGTGTGTGTATACCCATGCTGGTGGAAAGGATCTATGGGTTCAAATGCATGTTGAAATCTGAGAAACAAACATTCTTCATCCATCTGGCCATTCCTAGATATATATGTGTGTGTGTGTGTGTGTGTGTGTGTGTGTGTGTGTGTGTGTGTGTATTATATATATATATATATATGTGTATATATATGTATATATATATATGTATATATGTATATGTGATCAGGTCAAACTCTTTAAGTATTTACACGTCTTCCAAAGGCTCAGCAGTGTTCCAAAGCTTAATGCATTCAACACAATGTCATCAGAAAACAGGAGAATGGAGAGGACCTCACCATTCATAGGCAATGCTGGGTCTTCTCCAAAGCAGTAGGAACACATGTGATAAGCATATATCTATTTTATGGTCCACATGATGGTTATTTTCAGAGGGTCACTGAACAAGGTTATTCCTCTTGTTATAATTTTCAAGTAATCTTGAATGAAGACCCTTTGTTGGAATAAAGTCTGTAAGTTGGTGTTTTGCTCTACCAAATTAAACGTGTTTTTTTTTTTCATAATCAACAAACAAGCACAATGGGATTTTCTAGTCTCTAAATCATTCAGTTTCAAAATAGTAAGGATGTAATATATTAATGATGGAGCTGTGCATCAGCACAACCATTTTGGAAAGCAATTTGGAATTAAGCAAATAAAGTAGCTAACAAATACCACTACTAGGCTTATACCTCAAGGAAGTCTTTGAACAAAATAAAGTCCCCATATATGCCAAAATACTTATGGCAACATTTTTGTGATATAAAAGAATCAGAAACAAAGTAGATGCCCATCAATTGGAGAATGGCTAAACAAATCATGGTACACAGATGTAATGGAATATTACTGTGATGCTATAAGAAAAGACAAATGTGATGAAAAGAGAGAAGAATGGAAATATTCATATAACCTAAAGCAGAGTGAAGAAAGCAGAGCCAAGAAAATAACATACACAATAACTACAACATTGTTAATGGAAAGAATGAAAAATGAAAAACAATTAATTATATATTTTCAGACTTTTTTAATGTATTGATTGGTTATAATAAATTCTTCCTCTTCCTTTTTATTTTTTAGTCCTTAAAAAATGCTGTTTCTTAAAAGTAATATTGCAAAATTATAAAAAAAATACATGCTTCCAAGGAAAAAATATGAGAAGACAATCCCCACTCCACTTCTCTGCAGAAGTGGGAGGTCCATGAAGGTAGTAAAATGCATATATATTCAGAATTTATTGATTTATTGATCAGTTTTGCTAAAAAAATTTCCTCTTCATTTTCTTTAAAAATATTTGTTCTATGAGATGGTTCTCTGAGAGGGAGGAGGGGAAGAAATTGGGAGGAAGCTTTGCTCATGTAAAAATCTAGCTATATCAATAAAGTTTTATTTTTAAAAGACACAGTATACTGAAGAATATCACTGATAAAATCCTACCTATCCCCTACTAATAGTCTCATAAAGATCCTGTATATATGGCAATGTAGGCTTATCCATATCAGTAATGGTATGTCAAAATACAATCCAATTTATTTTTGTGATGTTATTTCCTGATTGCCATATTCAACACCTACTTTTCTTTCTCTCAAATAAAATATACATGATATAGAGTCATGAGGCTTTAATATGGAAATATGTTTTGCATCACTGTACATATATAGCTTATATCAAATTGCTTACCCTCTCAGACAGAGGGAGGGAGGAAGAGAATTTTGAACTCACAATTTTTAAAAGGTGAATGTTAAAAAAAATTATGTGCAATCAATTGGGAAAAAGAAAATAATATTTTAAAAAATAAAACATTTAAAAATTTTAAAAGGCACCTTTATTCACCAAGCAGTAATATACCCAAATTGTACAACAACTATCTATGAAGAAAAAAAAACCACTCTCATAATGAACCAGTATCTGAAGAGTACATGTCATAAAACTACTTTTCTAAAAAGTATATTGCCAAACTGAATTTCACTAAGCAATGTTTTGTGGAAATAGATTCTTGGCATTGGAAATTGAACTCTTGATTGTATTTTAAGCAGAATGGATCTTAGAAAGTTAGATCTTCATATCCATCATTATTACTTCAACTGTCCAGTGAAGCCCAGAGGAGATCTCAATACACAAGAATTACTACACAGTGAAGCTACATATCTCACTAAGCATTTTATCTATATTCACTCTATATAATAATACAATTGCTGAGTAAATGTTATTTATTTGATGCAATTTCTTATTATTCAGTATTATGGTTACCATTTAATTTTAGTATTGCTATTAGCCAAACCAAAAAAGAAAGATATTGTGAGTGTGTGTGCAATAGCATTAGATTCCTTTATAAAAATTTAAAGAAATTAAACATTTCAAAGGAAAAAAAATTGAAGGCAGAAAAGAAATGTTCTTCTTACCGTATACAACATATTTTACTTGGATAATTTTTTGTGCGTCTTCTGCTGTATGTTTATATGAAAGGGAACAAGTATAAACTCCACTCATCTCTTCACTGAAGTTATAGAATATAAGGCTTCCTGTTGTAGTTACTTTTACAGAGTTTTCTAATAAAGAAATAAAATGTGGTTCTTAATCACTGAATTTTAATCTAATTTCTTAAGATAAATTAAGAAAATAAAATTCTAACCAAAGCAAAACTCTCAACATTCAACTGCAAAGACTCTAAGATGGAGTAGATATCAGGAGGTAGAAAGAAGGGGAGGGACTAATTATGAGGTCTGTCAGCTAAGGGGATCTTGTTTCCAGGAAAAGCCCTCATAATGTAAATAAATTAGCCAAGCAGCTCTATGGATTACAGGGAAAAAGATCAATTCATCAAATATTTATTGAGTTCCTATGATGTGCTTAGAAAATTAAAGACACAATCTTCTCCTAAAGGAATTTATAGCCTATTTGGAATTTAAATCTAGATGAACATTTAAAAGTTAATGAATAATGTAGAGAGTTAAATGTCAAGTCCAAAAGAAGCACCTTCTGCACTACTAGGGCTGTACGACAATGGAATGGTTGCCTCATGAGATAGTAAACTCTTGACACTGCAGATATTAGAGGCTAAATGTGACAGGATGGCTATAAAAAAGGATTCCTATATTTTGTGGGGGCACAGGTTGAATAATCTATAAAACTCCTTACAAATCTATATAATTACTGTTTGGACTATCAATATGAGAGTCAGTAATACTGCTTCAGATAACCATTTTCTTAGATAATAAATGTTTAGCTATCAATTTAGTATACCACACTCATAAAAATTAATTGTTAGAATTCATCTCAGATGATACTCAGAAAAATTTCCTGATTCTCATTTTAAAATGTGTTTAATATGTTTAATAATAAACTTTAAGAGAAGTATCAAAGCATAGTGGGTAGAAAGTCAGAGTCAAAGTCTGGACATGGATTCAAGTCCCACCTCTGACACATACTAGCTTTTGGATCATGAGGTCATTGAACCTCTCAAAGTTACGAGCATCTCCTAAAGACTATAAGCTTTATATCAATGGTAAATCTTCAATGGTAGAAATTTCTTCAGTGGGAGTACCCTTTACCAGTGAATTCAATGATCTGCAGAGGGAATCAAAATGGAATAGATGATAGATCTTTAGCAAATAAATACAACCCTGTCGTGGCTGAAGCCTAACTCAGTGTAAGCTTTCAGTAAACAGAAAACATTAATGACTTAAGAGCATTTCTGAACATTGGTGCACCAAGAATTTTTCTACTGGTGGAAGAAGATGAACAGGAAGACATTTTTCTGCTGGAATCTGGACTAGTAAAGTTGACCAACGGCCATGACCATAAAAAGTAAAACTGCTTAAACATGGCTGATTTTGCTGTTTTACATGTATGTCTATGCTCTAACACTATTTTGGAAACCTTTCTCTAAATAATGTAACATTTCTGTCAGAAGTATGTTTAGGTTAGTTCAGTATTCCAAATTATTGGGGATTTGGGTGAACTTTTAAACCTTATTTTTCTTACCAGAAACAGAATTTTTTAATTTAACTAGCTGAAAGATTAGCAGGAAATTGGATACTGAAGGTAACATAAGCTATATTCATTTCAACAGCAAAGTTTATCACTAATGATTTTGAAATCAATGGTTTCAGTTATGAATGTGTTAAGAATTGCATATAAATGGATTTAATTTACTTAGGACTTTCAAGTGAAAACAAAACTAGGAATTGCTAGTCTTAAATTACTTTCTTACTGATTTACAAGCTGATTATTGAGGTCCCTATTGAGGTCTACCATATACAAAGCACTGTGCTAGATGGAGGAGATATCTACTATCTGCTTAACCCTTAGTTTCTTCTGCTATAACTAGTGTCTAGGAATAAAATTTCTAAGAAAAAATCTCTAAAGATTTTATCTTTACTATTAAGTAATATCAAAGAAAGAAACTATATACCAACATGAAACATCTGGTGAATGAAATCAATGAAGAGAGGATTGAATATTCCAGAAATTTGAAAAATAAGTACTTCAGAATCAGGATTAGCATCAATAGATCCTAAAAACTGTACTAGTAGGAGAATGATGTCCACTGCCGAGTTTGGTGAAATAAGACACAGTCATTTCCTATTCCAAATTTCTCTGTATAACTCATTCAATGATGTCTAACACCTCTACATCCTTTCTTAGTGCCTATATCTGCTCAATCGGAGCCCCATATATGAAGTAGTCCAGAATGGCAGGAGCATTTCCACAAATTAGTATTTTAAAACCTCTTAGGCTCATATATACATAAACATTTCCTTAATATTTCCCTTCATCATCGAGACAAAAGGAGTCTGATTAACGTATACCACCCCTTCTACAAAGGGCATCTAGGTGGGGCAGTAGATAGAGTGCCAGGACTGGAGTCAGGAAGACTCATCTTTCTGAGTTCAAATCTGGCCTTAGACAATTACAGTGTGACCCTGGGCAAGTCACTTAACCCTGTTTGCCTCAGTTCTCTCATCTGTAAAATGACCTAGAGAAAGAAATGGTAAACCGCTCCAGTGTCTTTGCTAAGAAAACCCCAAATGGGGTCACAAAGAGTCACATGTGACTGAAACAACTGAACAACAACCCCTTCCACAAGTTCAAATTTTTTCAAAATTACTTAATACATAGTATATAACAATGTTGTTGATTGGGTCCTACTAATAGTCAAAGCCCTAAGGTAAGTAGCTACCTACACAAATATGCAGAAGCATGGGCCCTGAGTAGAAGAGAAAGGGAATGGACTAGTGGCAATATATCACCAATTGCCAACTCAAAACCTAGTATGTCCGAAACAGAACTTATCGTTCCCCCCGAAAAAACCTTCCCCTCTTCTGAACTTCCCTAGTTCAGGTATTAGGACTTTATTTGTTCAAAAAAAGTGTGGTACAATGTATTATTTTTGTAAATAATCTCTATAGTGTAGGTATTAATTACTTTTTTTAACATTTGATAGCATCCATCCATAAATGCTTAACCTAGGTTATTCTCCCACTGACCCCTTTTATTGGTTACTTTACATTTTGTTCAATTTCACCTTCTGAGATTCAATTGCTCTTTTTTTCATGCTGTTAATTTGGTTATTTTATATTTTTGTAGGTATTCAATTAAAAATGTGTAAGTTTTGCTGGCATTTAATTGTGTATAGTAGGTTCAAATAATTATTTTGAATTTTTTTCTGTTTGCTGTGATTTCTCCTTGTTCATTTTTTCTTATTAATTTGACATTATTCACTCTTCTTTTAATCAGATTTCCTGGTTTAATCTGCTGTTAGACTTTTGAAAGTGCCAACTTCATTTTGTTATCATTTCTATAGTCTTTTTGTTTTCCATTATACCTATTTCTTCTCCAATTTTCAAGATACCCTCTTTTGTGCTTACTCTGAATGTGCTGATTATCTCATTTTTAATTGCATACTCAGTTCATTAATTCTTTTTTCTATTTTGATGATTTATTTTTGAGAAATATTTTTCAATCGCAGAATTGCTTTAGCTGCATCTCATAAATTTTAGAATGTTATTTCGTAATTTTTCTAGTTGATGTAACTGTCCTTTCTATACTTGTTCTCTAATGCATTCATCATTCAGGATGCCACTCAAATCTCCATTTCTGAAGTTATCTTTTGCTCATGTTCTCTATTTCACTGCATTACAATCTGTAAAGAATGTGTTTAGCATTTCCATTTTTTTATATTTATTTATAAATTCTCTGTGTCTAACCACATGGTTTATTTTTATGTGTGGTGCTATATCATCAGTATATGCTTTACTTTTCACATTCCTTAGAGATCCTAAAAGTCTTTCAGTTCTAACTATTCCAAAAGTTTGTCAAGTCTTGTATTTTCTTTTTTATCTTTCTTTTTAGGCTTATCCACCTACAAGGGAGATTATAATTCCTATAATTATTCTTATAATCTGAGCTTTTCCACAATTCAATTAACATTTCCTTTATAACTCTTATCACTAAAACTAGTTAATATATTCATTAGTACAATATGGTTTCCTTGTTTATATGTCTGGATCTTGTCATTCAAAATTTAGTTTTGTTTTGCATGATACTATGATCAAAGCTTTTTTGGAATTACCTGATGCACACTAAATTTTGTTTCAGTCTCTTTTTTTATTCTTTATGTTTCTATTTAAAGTGCATGAAGACTTTTGAGACACCTCATGTTTCTGGTATGCAATATATTGTTGGTTTTTGCTTTCTTATCCACTCTGCACTTTTAGATTGCTTGATGCATTCACATTTAAAGCTGTAATTGTTAAGACTATATTTTTTCTTCACTTTTTGCTTTTGTATTAATTTTTCTTCCCTTCCTCCTTTCAGTCATTAATTTGTCCCCAATTAGTGTTGTTACTCTACTTTGATGCCTCTTCTTAAGTATTACTATTTTTATTTTTGTTGATCTCTTTTTTACATAACCTCTATATCTGATGTCTCTCTCCTTCCTCTTCTTCCACAATCAGCAAGCCTTCTTTGTAACAGACCATAAAAAAGGCTGAAAAAGCAATTCTGCAAAACTAACCAACCCAACAACCAAGTGTAGCTGAATAAAGACCACTCTCCTGGTTCTTCTTCCACTCCTTAGTCCCCTTTGCTAGATCCTCATACTAATCATGCCTAATAAGCATGGGGATGTCCCACAAAGCTCTATCCTTTGTCCTCTTCTCTTCCCCTTCTATATTACTTCCCTTGATGATCTCATCAGCTCTAATAGATTTATCATCCCTATGTTGATGATTCTCAAAGCTACCAACCCTGCCCTAACCTCTTAGCTGATCTCTAGTCTCACATCTCCATCTGCCTTTCAGATACCTAGAAGTGGTTGTCCAGTAGCAATTTTAAATTTAACATGACCAAAACCAAACTCTTCTTTCCCAAAAAACCTCCCCATTTCCAAACTCCGCTATTATTGTCAAGGGCACCACCATCTTCCCAGTTCCCCAGGTTCACCACCTAGATATCATATTTGACTATTCACTATCTCTTACACCCCATATCCAATCTGTTTCTGTCAATTTCACCTTTGGGACATCTCTCTAATGTGCCCCCTTCT